TAGATTCTAATCAAATAAATTTAGATATTTAAATTTATGAATAAATTTTATTCATCTGATTATTGGAATAATAATAAGGAACTGCATAATTAAAACATTACATGCTATCTATTCCAAATTAAAGCAAACCCTCCTTGTAGTTTAACCTAGTTATGTTAGCCAGTAGAAAAACCTTAGCTGGCTAACATCACTAGTTTAACCTGATTGAAGAGACCTATCGCCATTCCTCTTATCATCATTTAATATTATTTTATTTATCATTTTATTTATTTTATTTGTATTTTTTTTTTTTTTTTTAATAAAGGCAGTATCCTGCTCATATAATTTTATTGGAATAAAGTAAATATAATAAAAATAATTCACAAAATAAATTCCAAATTAAATTTATATGAGGCTATTCCTCTTGAAAATAATTAAATAATATATATATATACACACATACATATTTAAATTTAACATTTCAGAAAAAACAGATATGCCAAACAAAGTCTATGTAGTTTATTCAGTCTTGATTTAACAACTTTAAATACATCATAGATATTGTTGATTGATCCAGATATTACCTAGGTAATAGGAAGTTAGATCCAGTGTTAAGAAAGTTATTTATTAAAACTAGATGAGAATTGTTAAAATTAGGATTTGAAAGAGATCTTGAGGGTCTGATTAATTGGGTATAATTGATTAGCTGTTTTATTTTTCAAGTTGATATTATTTTGTTTTAACCATGAGTTAAACAAAGCACATTGTCAAAGCTGGACATTTTTATAATAGAAAGTTATTAGATTGTAGGAGATGATGTGAAGGATGACTGAAGTTTTTTTGTGAGAAGTAAATATTGGATATATGGAGTTAATTAGAGATGATGGAATTAATCCAGCTGCAAGTATTACAGGTGAAGTATGGTTGAAGTTAGATTGGAATAGAGGTTATAATAGTTGTTTAGTTTGTGTGATTTTGGAGGATCTATACCAATTTGAGATTTTAGAGATTATTGATTGTTGGATTGTTCCCCATGGACTTGTGTCCAAATTAGAATTATCTTGGCAAGAAAATAGGTGTGTAGTATTTTAAGATTGGGTGGGAGTAGCATTGGATAGTTGCGTATTAAGTTTTTTATTGTAGGTAATGTGTTATGGAGAATTTCAAGCTTGAATGAGTATGGTAAAAGTGTGAATTATTTTCAGTAATGAGAGAATTTTAGACAAAATTCTGTATATAACCAATTGATAGGTGTATTTGATGGAATTTGCTTTACCAAGGTAGGTTGTGTTTGCCATTTAATTATTGCTTGTGAGTTTGAATTTAATT